CAGCTCTGTCTTTGTGTATCCACACTTTCCGTGTTTTTCATGACATGCGTGTGTCAAGGTGACAAACATAAGGACTACTACATGTACAGAGGTTGTCAGCAACACAGCCTCACTCTCTCTCTCTGCCCCCTCTCCAGGGAACACCCTATCGGAGACAAGAGCTTCCAGAACTACATCAGGCAGCACTCTGAGACCTCCACCCATTCCATTTAAAGTCCCAGCATGTCCCTGAACGTGCTGTTGAGCCGCACCGGGAAAACCCACAACCGTTAATAGCAGACAAAAGAAGACAGAACACGTACATGGAGAGGAACCACGTTCACCAGTTCACACAGGTCCTACAGTGCCGGTGGTGCCACTGGGAGCCACGCATGCTCCTTCCCGGCAGGAACTGTTGCCTGGGCTGTGCACTTTCCTTGGCTGCCAGCACAGGTGGTCTGAGCCGTTCTGGAATGTGTGATCCTTTGTCTTTTTACTACTTTGGTTTTATGGGGATCCAGGGATCTGTTAAATATTAGGGAAGTGTGGACTTTGTCTAAACCTGTTCCCACATGGCCCAATCCCTCTTCACAGAGGCGTGGCTGGTTCATTCATGGCCATGTTTACCTTCTGCAGTGTACACTCACCCTTCTTCTTCACCTGCTGAACTCCGTGGCTCTGCATACATGTAGCAGTCTGACCCTAGCTCCAGAAACCCTCCTTAATCCTTGTTCTACTTAATCCCTGTTTGGGATGCTAGAATCAGTATTTTCGTGGCGGCCAGCAGGCAGGCAGCCTTTCTCCTCAGCTTGTGTTGGTTCACTCCTGGCTAAAAGGTCGTTTTATGGCTGGGATGGACAGGATGGTACAAGAAGCCTTTGATCTTTGGGGACGTAGAGAGGGAGGACTGTGAGCCCAGTCTTTGCTGGGTGGCCACCAGCCCTCACCACACGTCTGGATGCTGGACGAAACTAGAAATCCATAGGCTGCCTTGGTGAAGGTTTGGGAAAGATTTTTAAAATGTGCATTTTCAAGCTGTTTTTCTTAATGTTTTTAAAGGACTGTTTTTAAATAGCATTTTGATATAAGGCAGTGTGAAACAGCAACACCCATATGCATTAAAGGGTGTGGCCCAGGGAACTCCAAAGGGAACGGTGTTTGTTTCTCACAAAAGCCAAAGGGTCCTCAGGGACGGAGACCTGGGCTGCGGGCTGCATCATCAGCAATAAAGGCCAAACATGGTATGTCACGTGCCTATGTCTCTGTGAACCGAGCAGGCTACACACGGCAATGTCTAGAGACACTTTGGATTCTGGGGAGGGGGGGGGGTCCCGAAGCAGACAAGGCAGACTGCATCAGCTTGGCCCCACAGTGCTGCTGGGGCCTCATCCCCCACACAGCATCTCCACAGGCTGAGAGAGAGGCACTCTGTGGGCGGATGTTGCCGAAGGACACAACCACGCACCCAGGCGCCAGTTTCTCTGAGCTCATGTTGGGAAGTTCACTCTTCATCTAGAAAACATGGTAACAGCCTTGGTTGTCACAGAAATGGAGGATTAAAGAAAAATGACTTTGGACACAGCAGTTAGGCTGCACTGACCTTGTTTTTAACATGGATTTGTAACTTAATGTTTCTGTTTATAAGATACTAACGATTTGCAATGTATTTTATCGGTCGATTAAAACAGATGTTTTATTCTTTCTGAGGAGTGGTTTGGACTTCCGGAGGGGCTCACATGAAGGAGACAGTGTACAGGAGGGCCCCTACAGGGAGGGTGGCAGATAGAGGTAGAATGCATCATTGTCAGACCAGACAGATGGTTCCTGTGGTGACAGGTGGCATTTCTGATAGCGTGTGTTGTCTCTGACATGTGTCCACGTAGGACTCTCTGAGGGCCTGGCTTTTTGGCGCCCTATGGCATTAGGCACCGCCGGGAGATCCTGTGGAGTTGAAGACATCTAGGGAAGGAGGAGACAGATTCCTCCCTTGTCTCTAGGATATGGTTGGTGCCCTGAGGTCATAGAAGAAGTGTGTACAGCAGACAAGCAGGCTACATGGGGGCTACATGGCTACTCAGGCCTAGCTGCCTCTCCTGGAGCCCTAGAGAGTGAGGAGGCCCAGCATGCAGGCCCCTCGCCTGAACAATCGACACCACTGATTCTCATCCCTCTCCTCTACATTTGACTTTCTTTAATTCCATTGGGAGTCTGAACCATTATAAGAAAAGTCTAGGGTCTGACTTTGAGAGCACCAAGTTAGACAGCCCTCTGGGGGCTTCCTGGGGCCAAGAACTCGGGCCAAAGGCTTCCCAGGACAAGGTGAGACTGGCGTGGGTCGCTGATCAGCGTCCTCTGGCCCCAGGAGAGTGTGCAGTGGAGCAAGGACGGTGGCCCTGCTCTTTGGCCTCTTGTCTGCCTATGATCTCCTAGGAACGGAGTGGGGAGTGTCTGCTGGCCTGGCCACACGCATTTGTCAGCCTGGATCAACCGGAAGCAAAGTGTCCTTAAAGAATTGGACCATACCAAGACAGAGGACTTACCTCACATTCCAGCTCATACTGGAACGTGCCTAGCTAGGGTGCAGTTCACACTTGGGCATACCTAGCCAGGGCTCAGCTCTAACTACAGCATGCCTAACTAGAACTCAGCTCACACTGAAACATGACTAGACTCAGTTTACCCTGGGGCATGCCTCTCTCAGGCCCAGCTTACACTCCAGCATGCCTAGTTAAGATTCAGCTCGTTGGGGTGGGGGTGGGGTTCACACTTTATTATGTCAGGTTAAAGTTCAACCCAGGGATAAACGAGGAAGCTAGGGATAGACCAGTCCCTGTGGGGAGGAGATACAATGAAACACCAGAGTACTTGGGCTCAAAGCCCCCTTCACAGCTCTCTCTGATGGAGACCTCTGCCATGTCTGTGCTTTTCTTTCAGAAGGTCTGTTAGTCACTGGAGAAAGCATCTCCATAAACTACCTCCATGCTTCCATCTTGAGCTCCATCCATCGGAGAACATCTGGAGTGGGGTAGGATTGCCACCAACCCCTTGGATGCTAGGTCTCCACAATGGTCACTGGACCAGGTGACCTGCAGCCTCCCATATGTGAGATTCTGGGATGTGAGAGAGGGAGGGATGCCTATGTGGGGAGACATGCCTGCATGCACCATGCTGGCTGTCGGGAGCTGTATGCTCTGAAGGATGATTTTGAGGTCACTTGAGAAGCCAGTGGCTGCAGATAGAAACCTCAGTGAACATCTTCCCTGTAGCAAGAAGAGGGTAGCTTTGTCTTCCCTGAGGTAGAATGAGGGACTCTCTATGAAGACCTCATTGACCTAGCCCTTGCGGTCTCCTTCCCTGACCCCACACAATGCCCTTTACCACGCCTCTTCCATCCAGATAGCAGAAAACCAAGTATTCTATTTCCGGCTACATTATTTATGAAGTTGTCGTAGTTTGCTTCCTATTACTGTGATAAATACCACAACCAAGAGCAACTTACATCCTGATCACAGCCAATCATTGGGAAGGCAGGGCAGAACCAATCATGGGGGAGGTAGGAGTAGAGCCAATCATTGGGGAGGTGGGGCAGAACCAATCATTGAGGAGGTAGGAGTAGAGCCAATCATTGGGGAGGTGGGGCAGAACCAATCATGGGGGAGGTAGGAGTAGAGCCAATCATTGGGGAGGTGGGGCAGAACCAATCATTGGGGAAGGCTGGGAAGAGCCAATCATTGGGAAGGCAGAGCAGAACAAATCATGGGGGAGGTAGAGCAGAGCCAATCATTGGGAAGGCAGGGCAGAGCCAATCATTGGGAAGGCAGTGGAGAGACTCAATCAGGAGCAACCCATGGAAGAAAGCTGCTGAGCAGCAGACTGCATGGGAGAGAGGGATTTGCCAGTCCTTTGGGGCATAGAAGATCCTATACGGGTCCTAGATATCAGACACAAAGCTGTTTAATTTTGGTTTTGCTTGGCTTCAATTGTAGCTTCCCTGGTTCGTCCTTCATGGAGTAAGAAAATACACGAGCCCACAGTTAAGAGACTTTGGATTTTCAAAGAGAACTTAAACTTTTAAATTATTGGAATGGTTAGAAGACCGTGGTCTGTTTAAAAGCTAAAATGTGTTTTCTATTGTGATATTAATATTAATATCTTGGGTACAAACCATAAAGAAAGGCTTATTGCTTAATGCTGATGTGTTTGTGTGTCAAGCTGACAAAGACTAACCAGTGTAGGATCCCGGCCAGGAAAATAAATTCATATACTTTTTTTCCTGCTAAATATACCTTGAGTCAGTTTAATCTCAGAAGGCCCAATCAAAAGCCCTGGAGAGTCAGAATGCCCCTCCTCCCAGCACCATAGCTCTAGATGACTCTGTACTTGAACGGTGAACCAGGGATCATCTGTTGGTCTACGTTAGATCTAGATGTGCCAGCCCCCCTCCCTGGTGCTGAGGACCTAACACCAGGGACCTTAGGCCTGACTGTTTGAGAAGGGGGGTCTTGGAAAGTTAGGCAACTGAATTAAGGTCACTCACGTGAGTCAAAGTTCCTAGAAAGAATGACACCTTACATCGGACATCTATAAAGCTCGTTAACTAATAAGAAGCCCAATGGTTGTGGCGAGGTTCAAATGTTTATCTTGGGCTTTTTTTAGACACTTTAATAGCCATTCCTTGCCTACCTTCTACGTCTGACCTAACAACCTGTGATTAACAGATACAACCCTTTGGCATACATTCACAAAGCTCTGGTTTCCCAGGAGCACACATGTGAGGCATGAAGTACAGGAAAGTGGCCAACACGAAATCACTCAAAAACAAAAAAACCTGGAGCCTGCAGAGACTTCTGGGGTGGCCCTCAGCATTCAGCTCTGACTTGTGATGTCACAGCAGTGCCATAGCAACGGGGACTAAGCATGCTCTGGGCCACTTTGCTGGAGGAGAGACAGGGAGAGAGGCTGGCAGAGATGCCTTCGGTCTGAGGCTGCGCTGGTGGCTTCCTCCTCCCCTCTGGGTCAGGATGGAAAAGGATCCTGCCACTCACAGGAGGCACAGGCCTGGCCCTGGGGCCCTGCCCTCAGGAATAGCCCCCGGATACCTCAAAGTGGCCAGCGAGGGGGCTGAACTCCAGAGGAGCAGGAGTGTGGGTGGCTTGCACCAGAAGGGGGATCCACCAGTCTGCATCAGGAAGCTACTACGCAAGGAGCTAGGTAGGGGGTGGCTCTCTCTTGGTGGGCTGGGAGGGCAGGCCGGACCTGGCCCAACGTCAAGAAAGCAGTTTGTGTACAAATGAACACAGACAGTTTGCACACCAATGTGCAAGGCATATTCCTGTAAGGAGAAGTCACTGGCTTCTAAGCGCACAACTGCACCAAGCGATGGAAACCCTACCTTTCTCATGACTGCTCCTTGCTAAGTCCACTTCACAGGCAGGATCAGGACTAGAAGGTTCTCCTAATAGCATCTTCCAAATCATAGGTGCATGTATCCCCATGTGCTCAGGTGGGGCTGACATGTATCCACGTGTGCTCAGGTGGGGCTGACAGAGATCTTTGTATGTGCGGGTACTTTGCCAGCATATATGCCTGTGCACTGTGTACATGCAGTGCTGTGGAGAACAGAAGAGAGCTTTGGGTCCCCTAGGATTGGAATTAGAGTTATGAGCCCCATGTGAGTGCTGGGAACCAAACCCTGGGCCTATAGAAGAGCAGCCAGTGCCTTTAACAGCATTTCTCCAGGCCTGCCAGTCCATTTTTAAATCCTTCTGGAAGTGTTTAAGTCACCAGGAACCCTTCTAGAGAGCTCTCCTCCTCTCGTCATTCTGACCCATTGGTTTGAGCTGTCATGCAAAGGTATGTGGCACACACACACACACACACACACACACACACACACACACACACGGAGAGAGCAAAAAGGCCTCAGTCTCCTGTTTCTCTCTGTTGGGCAGGCAGCTTCTAACCACAGATGCCCACAAGTCTGAGTCCCCCACTGCAGACAACAGAGGGACAGGCATGAGGTCTCCTGAGAGAGGGGTCACATGGCACAGGCCAAGGCCAGATGTGCTGAGCACAGGAGGGGACAGGTTCCCTTATAGGAAGGGGGCAGCTTAGACGCACCTAGCATCTCTATGAAGGGCAGCGCTGGGATGGAGGACTGGAGTGGATGGAAAGAGAAGAGGACAGGCTGGTGAGGAAGTGTCTCCTGCACTGGCATCAACTAGCCTGGACGCTAAACCCAAGGAAAGGGCTTGCCAGTTCTGTTAGGACACCATCCAAAACAGGGCATCTCTCAGCCCAGTCTCTGGGCTTGGTTTTTACCAAAACTCTTTAACATTTTGGGGCTTCTGTCTGAATCCCAAAGCCACTGTGAGGATCAGATTGTACCAGCCATCCATGCTGAGGTCTGGCCCCAACGGCAACACTGGGGGAATTGGACAGAATGGGGCCTCAATGGAGTCATCTGTTCATGGCTCTTCCTGTTAGATGAGCTGCCAGATCCCTGGAAGCTGAGGGGAGGAAGTTCCATGCGGAAGAAGTATGCCGTGTTGGGGGAAGCTCACAGACCACGTAGTGCTCCCAGGATCCCTTGGCACGGTTCCCTGCAGCCATTGCCTGAAGCTGGGAATTCATGTTTCATGGCTACTTGTTAGGGTCTCCTCAATCTTGAACACATTCAAGGTACCTCCTGTCCCATGGGATAGAGGATAGCTAAGATCACCCCAATGATGGCCCTCAGAGCTAGGAGGCATCAGTGGCCAGGATATTTCCAGACAAGCCATCCCGTCTAGAGCAAGTCGCCATCCTTGACTCCTGTTCTGCCACTCCCGTAATCAGTGTTGGGATGAGGAAGATTTGGGGACCTGTGAGTGTATTGCAGGAAGCCATGGATGCCAAGTCTGGGTCACGGAAGAACAGAGTAAGGATTGGGCTTTCACAACTATGCATGAAGCAGGCTCAAAGCTCCAGCCCAGGCATGGAAGGTGCTGGACTAGGGAAAAAATGCAAGTGCACTGTGAGGATGGTCAAAGAGGCAGATGTGGAAACAATTCTCTTTAGCCATGGCTGTTCACGCTCAAGCTGGCCTGGAGCCTGCCCTGAGGAGTGCTAGGCAGGACAGTGAACCAGTGGGTTGGTGAACTGTGGGAAGGCCTGGGTGCGGGAGCCATCATACCGTGGGAAGCTAACCAACTTCCCTTGCTCCTCAGACTCTGAGGACCAAGGTAAAGATCCAAGAAGTGACACAGATGATACCTCCTGGTAAGTGGAAGGCACTCTCTTCTGAAATGGGAGGGTTGGGGTAGTGGGGAGCGGGATGGAGCCCTCCCTCTGGGTCGGGACTTGGGAAGACTCCTTTCAGGGGGGTGACTCTTTTTAGGGCGCATTGGTTGGGATGGTTGGGGACCTTCTTTATCTAAGGGACCCATAAAACCAGAACCCACCATTGTGTGTCTCAGAAGTGCAGGCAGCCCTGCTCACTTCCTAGGCAGTCCTTCTGCCTGGTCCTGTTCTGGCATCCAGCCAACTTGGGGGAAGTGTCTCAACAAGTATCTCCATGTGCCTCTTCCAGAAAGGAAACTCCACCCTGTCTCATGTCAGTTGGGTCCATTAAGGTGTCCTTGCTGAACGGGGAGGCTGTATAATCAGACTCCCAATGGTCAGAACAGCTATCTGGTCACCTAACACGCAGCCATCCCTCTGCACTGCCTACCATCCTGCCTTCCATGGGGCTTCAAAGTCATTGAACCCAAGGGCTTTTCTCAGATCCCAAAGTCTGTTTGCCGTGGACCAGGCACAGGTCAGGCTGCCTGTTTACAGAGGACTTCCCATGAGCCAGCACCGGTGGAAGGTGCTAGACCAGAAAACAGTGAGGGGGGAGGGATGCTGGCGACTAAAGTGCTGGAGGCTCCATTGGTTGGCAGAACTAGGTACCATCATGCCCCATAAGCCTGTAGGGAGTGGAGCTGGTGTCTCCAGACAAGATGAGTTGTCTCCAAAAGGGCACACAGGCTTACCTCACTCCAAGCATTAGGGGAGCAGCCAGAGAGACAGCAACTGATTCCTGTCGTAACACTTATTCCAAACGGCATTTTTTGATGCCTAACCTACCAACTTATCTCCAGTCAGGTGAGCCTAGAGGAAAACAGGAAGAAAAGGAACCAGGATGAGCCCAGAACGCTGGACCAAAAGTATGGGAAGTCGGAGCCAGAGAAGAGCGACTCGGAGACCAGCACCTCAGAAAAGGATGGTGCCCGCAAAGGAAGACGCACCTCAGTGGCCGAGGTCAGGCTGGCCTCGGGCCGCTCTGTGCACTCTGGCCTCCTGCACGGCCTCCCCTGTACTCACCTGTTGGTGTCTTCTTTGACTTGTAGGGGCAGGAGCCAGAGTCCATGAAGCTGAATAACCTTCTAGAAAAGCAGGCAAGCACTTCTTACTCGAGCCACAGGCATTATGATGAGCAAATCTGTCCATATGCAACTCCTGGTGGGCTCTGCGCACACCATAGACTTGGAATCCTTAAAACCATCTGAGCAGGTGCTCTTCTATCTGACTGGGCTAGAAATTGGTTCAGGGAGAAAGCTCTGAGCCTCTTTGCCTGAACCTACAGCATCCTGCCCTAGCTTGCCAAACAATGAAATCACTAAAGGTGTGGATCTTGAGATTTCCCCTTCCGATTGAACTTCACCCAGAATAATAATACCCCGCCCAGAGCATCTCACCCAGGGGTGCTGACCAAAGGCACCCCTGACCTTGGTCTCTGAGATACATCCTCTGTGCAAGTACCATACTTAATTATGAATTTCACGGTGGCCATCATGAAGGAAGGTAGCTTTATCCTCCTTCCCAGACCATGTTATGGGGAACAGGGACAGTGGGACACCTTTTTAACCAGGACTTCACAGCAGATAGTCCTTGACAAGTTTCTGGGCCAGCCGAAGTGTCAAACAGAGGCTGAGTTGGCATATTGTGAGCTAGCCCACCTTAGAGAATAGATCTTGTCTCGGTGAAGCATGACTCTAGGTAAGTGTATGGAGGTGAGCCATGTGTTCCTGTAGATCAGGGCTGGGGAGGGATCCCCAGGACTCCACAGTGGCCTTGTCACTTGAAGGATGTAGAAACTCTCAGAATCTCAAGAACCTGTTTCCACTGAGTAGAAACGGGTGAGAAGGTCACGCTGCTCCTCATCCGCCCAGAGCTTGCCTTCTGGCCCCTGCTCTCTGTGCTGCCGTGGTCCTCCAAGCTTCACAGGGGCCCTCTGTCATCACCAGCGTCTGGTGGGACCATCCAGACCTACAGATCTACAAGGCAGAACCTTGCAGCTCCTTCCAAGATCTCTCCTAAATTATTGTTTCCTCCGTAGAAACCATCTGTGTTTGTGGAGATCGACCTTGGAGACCATACTGAGGAGGAGGTACAGTAACACCCTCCAGACCAGAAACCCAAACTCCCCACTAGGAGAGCACCCATACCATTGGGGGCAGGGGAGGAAGCATAACAGACACATGAAGGGTGAGGCCGAGACCCAAGGCCAGAAGTTCTAGGGAATATCCTTGGTGCTACTGATGAGGACTGACTGGGAGTAGAAGAAAAACACCTGTGTTCTCTCTCTCTCTCTCTCTCCCTCCCTCCCTCCCTCCTTTAGCACCAACGTGGGTTTTTGGGTACCCAGAGCTTCTAAGGGAATCTCAGAAAGAGGCAGAGAGAACAAGAGATACATGGCTTTATCAGTAACTGCTCAACATGCTCATGAACCTCTTGTGCTTGAGTTGTTCCACCATGGGAAAAGCATATACCCACCTCTCCAGGCTGTGGCCTTGGTATGAGGTATTGCCAATTATCATCACACTGTTATCATCCCCATTGCCAACAGTACCACCACCACCGTCACTACGGGTATCACTGCCATCACAACCATCAACATTATCACTATTCCGACAACCATTGCTGTTACTACCGCTATCACCATCATATTTTCACCCTTGACATCCTTGTCACCATCACCACCTCTGTTGACCGCACCGACATGGTCATCATCACCATCACCACCATCATCAGCGCTAGTATCACGACCATCATTATCAATATCCCCATCACATAATCACCGTCATGGTTATGATCGACATCATTGTTACATCACCATCATCATTATCCATAAAATGAGATTTTCTCAGTGGCTCATCAACATAGTTATTTGGAGTCTCCCTCCAGTTCCCTGCTGTAATTAGCAGATGTCTTTTTGGGTGACTTCTGAAGTTCTCAGTTGACAAATTTAAGGAGTACCTGAAGGTTGGCTACTTTCCAGATTACACCTGTCTATACCTTTAGCTTCTGAATCACACTGTGTCCCTATGAAGCCGCTCATGGGGCCCTGAGTTCTAAGGACTCCAGAAAGGTCATCCAATAGCAGAAGTAGACCAAGGAGCCAATTCTCTCCACCTGTAGCCCAGGAGTCAGGGAGGCTCACAGGAGCTGGAGTCCTCTGTTGGGCATCCCCACTCAACAGAGAACTGTCTGGAAGGAGGACATTCGGAACCATAGTGGAATGGCTTTCTCTGTCCCTATCTGTTCCTTGGGAGGGTCCCACAGATTGTTCTGCCTCCTCCCATAGATAATCACCTGTGCCTTGAGGGAAGAGAAGAGGCCCCCGATGGACACAGGGGACTTGTCAGAGGATGAGTGAGTATTGCTTCAGGGATAACTTAGACGGCGCTGTTTATCAGGGTGACATTCCTACCACAGACTCCGATGGTGACAGCTCTGTGCCTTCTGCCTTCCCTCCATCCCCTAAGCCATGCATAAGTCGGTTGATTATGGGGACCAGAGGGGCTAAGGAACAAGTGACAATATGGTAAACTTTCTCAGAGCTTGGGAACAAATTTACCAGGAGCCATATCTCACTCCACCACCAAACCACATCTCCTCATCTTATCAGCCAGCAAAATGACCAAAGCAGAAGGTAAAGGTGTAGCAATTAACTGTAGAGAGTTAGGAAGGCCATGGATGCCATCGGGGAGAGATAGCCTCTCATAGCTGGGTTTAGGCGTACAGGGTTTTGCACACTGATCCTGAGACTTATGCCCCTGGATAGACCGGCAAAGCTTCACAGCTTCCTGAGGTCAAGAGGCATCAGCCACGAAGAAGGGCATTGGGATCCAGGCAAGCACTTGCCTCTGGCCCATAGATCTAATTTTACTTCATTTCTAACAATACAGAGAAATGAAGAGATCACAAGTTACTCAAATTCCCACCCCCTCAGAATTAATGTCTTCGTTATGATTTTGGCTTATTTACCTGGGTTTTCAAGGTAAAATTTCTCTATTACATTTGTTAAATGGGCATGTGGTCATAAAGGAACTCACATCATGAGGAACAGAATAACATAGAAGAGGGGAGTTTTAGAATCACCCCTAATCCTACTGGGCTGCATAATCTTTGATGTCACACTCGGGCCGAAGCTGGGTTCATATGGGGTAATGGTTGCCTCTGGGCCATAAGTCACCCATAGGCTCTGCTCCTTGATCACATTCCACTTAGCCCTCTATCTGGTGGGCAGTTGGGGGAAATATGGTCACGGTGATTGCCACCTTTGTTTCAACCTTCTGGCCTGGGAAAGGAATCAGTGACATCTGGTCATCCTCACTGGGAAGTCTCCCTGACTGACCTCCACATGACCAGGCCACGACAGGTGATCATATCAAGTGTTACCAAGATTATCATGATGTCCATGTCACACTCCCTGTGTATAGTCCATGTATGTCACACTCCCCAGCCCAGACTTGACAGAGGCAAGTCTTCTCCAAGGGATTTTCCCCTCACTCTTTCTTGGATGAATTTAACCACAGACAAAGGGTTGACTTTACACTTTGGCTTGAGAGACAGTTAAGTCCGTTGTCTGGGTCTGGTTTGCAATCTCTAATGCTCACTATCCTAGGTAGGGTAGGTGTCAGAGTAACCCTGAGTGCTGGCAGTCACTTGGTAGGGATGAGGGTTCTGTACATAACCTGGTCAGGACAGGAGCCGTGACACCCATCTGCACCTCTCACCTCTTTAATTTCCAATTTTATGCCCAGGATCCCTCAGTAAGATGGGCCAACTATGCACCAACAACATTTTGCCGCCCAGTTGGGCAGCTTTGACTATGAGCTGGGTGATTACCTTCACCATAATAGTGGGAACCACTGCCTCCTATGACCGGAACATACATGGAGGTTACCTCTCTCCACCTCCACCTAGCTACCTGGAGGATGTCTTTTAAGAGTCCCTCTAGACAGAGAATAAGAGACCTGGGTTCCCGAAGGACAGAAATAAGTGGCGAGCTTTGGAATTGAGATGTAGCTTGCTGGGGGTGAGGGGTGTGTCCTGCTGCCCTGGGCCTTGCATAGTGGGAACAGTGGGGTTTGAGAGTGTGGGGTGGGGGCTGCCGTCCAGGAGGTTGGTGTGTGACAGGGCAGAGAGGGCCTTCTTACTCTCTCATGTTCTTGGCATCCAGGACAAGGATCAGCTGGGTGTGCTGCATCCCATATTCCACAAAGAAGAAGGCAAGGGACACTATCAACACTCTGGAAAAGGTAGTCAAGACCTGGAGGGCAGGGAAGGGTCTGAGCAGCTAGGAGCCCAGGGGTGGTGTGCTCACTCCAGGGCCCCTCTGACAAGTTCCCTGGGGTTCTATTTCCATCTTGCAAGGTTAGCCACAGCTGAGAGAAAGAACAGTGGTGCAGAGACCCCCTAGTCCGCTTAAGACCCCCCCCAGTCCACTTAAACCTGAGAATGCTCGGGGAGGGGGCATGCACACCACCCAGGTGTACGCCCTGGCCACCAGAGACAAGAGGATGTTTGTGGATCATGTTCTTCTTCCATAGGCACCTGCCAGTAATGGCAGACGATGCTGGCATGCCCTAGTCCTAGGGTCGTCCTCTATCCTGCAGGTCCTGGAAACATCTAGAGGCACCTGTGGGCCCAAACTCATGATGGAACATGGTGCTCAGGGGAAGGCACAGTGGGTGCCAAGGTCCCTGTAGGCTAAGGTCAGGGATGCCCAGGAGCCTGGGTCTCCTCTGTGCTTGTTGCTGGGCACAGGCCCTGGTAAACTGGAGAAACAAGAACCCCAGTATTTCCATGTGATCCACACAGAGAACTCCTATCTTTAGGTCTGACCGTGGCCATGTGCTTCCAGACCAGGAGAGAGATGGTCCTTCACCAGGTGTAGGAACTCAATATTCTCACCTATCCAATATCCTGAGCTTTGTTATCCCCAGAGATACATGTTAAATGTGCAAGGACAGCAGAGAAGCTGTCTAATGCTCGAGGAAAAAAAAAAAAACCCCAGCCCAGGCAAGTTGAGTCAGGGGCTGTCACGCCCCGGCCAGGCCAGCTGTCGTCCCAACCTGACACTAGAACCCGCATCTGCTAGGTCCAGAGATGGATGAAATCCCATTTTGAAAGGCTCAAGAACTACTTTGAGCCTTGGTTCTGAGTATTCCTACATGCCTGAGACCCGAGTCTCCCTTACCTGCCTCTGTACCAGTCTGTTTTTGGACTCTGAGCCGTATGGCTTCAAAGCATCACTTGTCCCTTCAGAGAAGAGGTCCTGGCAGGATGAGAAGGGGGTGGTCACCTGTGCGCTGAGGGCTCAGCGTTGGGGCAGGAGGTCAGTTCTGCTTGGGCAGCAGCCGGCAGCAGCCAGTTTCACTGGGACAATGAAACAGGCCTGGCTAAGAGGTGCCTGCATTCTGTCCCTGTGTCCATGGTTGACAAAGACACCGAACCACTCATCCACAGGGTCTTTCTTGTTGCTGCTTCAGGTGGCCAGAGGCTGTTGAAGGACACCTACCGTTACGGTCCAGCATAGCCACTAGCTCCTCAGATCCAAGTGATGCTGAAATTCAGGGAAAGTTGGCAGCCTAGCCTCTAGGGTTCCACCTCCCACCACCTGGAAGTTACCAGGAGCCCCCCCTCCCCAGTGATTCAGACCCCCAAGGATCCCATCCTCTTTGGGCCTCATCTTCCCAGCCAGGCACTGACACCGCCTTGGCTTTATTAGAACCACCAGTCACCTCAGGACAGGACCCCTCTGACTCAGCCACTAGTAGAGCTCTCTGGGGACTAAGGGAAGACAGACAGCCCAGGCCTGGAACAGCTTCATGATCCTCCCTCCATGGGCAGGGCCAGAGTGACAGCAGCCAACGGAGACCCAAAGCAGGGACCCTCCTTCAACCCAACACCAATCACAGGTAAGGTGGAAAGTGAGTGAACTCGTTACCTTCCGGCAGATGGTCCCCGCAGAGGGAGGGCACGTGAGCCTTACTCAGGTCAGGGACAGACTGTGGTGCACGCTGGGGTCACGCTGCACCTGAGGTTTCCTCTCTACAGTATATAACAGGCATGTCACTGGTGACCGTTTTCAGGTGCTACTCAATACCGAGACAGGGCATCATATGGACCAAGTCCATGCCCCTAGGGGTCCTGCCTGTAGCTGGGCAGAACAGTATCTCTTGATACTTCTAATTTGAGCCACAAAAGGGTCTTTTGGTAAATATTAGTCTAGTTATTAAAGCCATGAGGACAGGAGACACATGGAGTTGGGGGGCAGGTAGAGCACCAGTGTTGGGGGCCCTGTCTGCTGTGTGGACTTGTGATTGCAGCTGCTCTGAGCAGGGCGTGTTGCTGCCGCAACCAGCCAACCTCCCCTCAGTTCCCCCTCTGTTCTCCACCCACACCGCTGAGGCCTCTAGGCTTATTTGTGCCAACACCGGGACCAGGACTTTAGCCTGTCTGATGGCGCCCCCTGGTGACTCGAGTTTTCCACCCCACTTCGCTTGCAGTCCTAGGAACCAACTATTCAACGGGCTGGCCGCCTCATCGCTCACCCAGAACTTAAGTTCCAGCTAATTGCTCACTAAAGGAAACATCACGATGTGAAGGCTTCGCTGGAGTTACAATGGCGTACCCAGGCTGCAGCTGGAGAGGAGAGGGGCCAAGGTTACCTCTGATCTGACCCTCCCTGCATCCCCAGGCCCTGGGCCACAGCCTTCCTTAGTCCCTTTACCTGGAAGCCTGGTTCTCTAAGGTGCTTGAGCATGTGAACTCCCCAATCACCTTCTCATGTGTCTCCCCCTCCACCACACAAAACAAAGCAGAAACAATTCCTCAAACTTGTGCATCTGAGGCCCTGAGTACCTGGACTCACCAAGGACGTGGTAATCATTGAAGACGTGTGTGTGTGTGTGTGTGTGTGTGTGTGTGTGTGTGTGTGGCAGAGGCCTGATCCCATAGTGTGCTTCTGGGGTTGTCATGGTCACTAGGAGGCATGCGGACAGGGTAAGGCGTCTTCGGCCTCCTTCCCAGAGCAGGATCCTATTGGAGTCATAATTGGGAGCAGCCCAGTATATGTAGAACGTAGAGCCCCAGCTGGGATGGGGAGGACTGGAGGAAGTAGTGATTCAGGGATGGTCTGTGGGGTCCAAAGGGAATTCAGGCGCATATCTGAAAGAGTTCTCGGGACATTGAGACACGTCGTCCTTTGCAATAAGTTGGTTAGAAGAGCTATTGGCACATGTGCAGACGGGACCAGAGCATGGTTGAGTGCTTTGAAAGGAGCTCAGGCCCAAATGTCATACTTAGGTAGGCATGCAGCATCGCTAATAGGCAACCAAGCCCGTGGCATGGGGAGGCTCTGTGTTGTCAGGCTGCCTCTTATTCCCCACTGAGAGCCTGGGGCAGTGGAGGATGGGCCTTGCATTGCCAGGGGAGAGCAGAAGTTCATGGATGCAAGGGGATGTGATGATTATAGTCCGTTTGATGACCTGGAGTACCGCGACCTGTGAGCTTCCTTGGCGCCTGCCATTCTCCTGGGGTCAGGACACCTGGAGAGTTTGTCAGGGGGTTAGAGATTCACTGACAGCTTCTGAGTGGGGAGTGTGAGCCCCAGTGTGGTCTGAATTCTGACAATATTCTTGGCATCTTTCCCGCGTAAGCTTAGCTTTGGGGCACATTTTCAGAGCTCCCGCACTGTGAACACAGCTGGCAAAAGTGACCTGCGGCTTAGGACCCTCCCCAGGGGTGAGCAAACATTCTGGAAGGGTGAGGAAGGCTGAAGTCTGTCTCGGTGAAGGAGACCCTGGTTTCAGCCATCTTGTTTGGTTCTGACACACCTTACGGCATCTCAAAGGATGACCCTTGCTGTACAGATGAGGAAACTGAGGTCCAGGGAGCAGCCAAGAAGCTGAGGCAGAGTCCAGAAACTGAGCAGCACTGGGGTGGAGCACACATCCCCATGGGCTACCCACAGGCTTGCTCCATCCCTTGCCCCAAGCTGCTGGCCTCTCATCTGCTCTGGCCCCGCTCATCACCCATCCAGCCCTGTGGAAGGACCTACCCCTACTTTCAGTGGCCATGACGGGAAAGACTTCATTCTCCAAGGGCATCTATCCCATGGCCAAGGATCCTTGTCTCCCGAAGGACCCTAGTCCACCCAAGTAGGGCCCCTTCTGATCTAAGAGCTCTGTTCCCCAAAGAGTTCCCATCTCCTCCTCCATTCATTTTCTAGGAGTAACACCACAGCCATCAGATTCTTGTCTGCAGCCTCACCTAGACTGAGAGCAAAAGAGCTCAGGCTCAGCATAGCCCAAGGGCAGGATAGCGTGAATAAGAAGCCCTGAGTGCTCAAGGCTGAAATCAACTCCCCCAACACAAGACAGTTCCGCGTCCTTGGTCAGTCCAACTCAGTAAACTAAGCCTTCCACCTTCCAGTTTCCCACCCCACCCCTGGCATCTAGGCCGCTTAGGAGTGAAGTCCCTGCAGTCCTGCATCTGTCGCTGGGAAAAAGAAAGAGGAGCCTCAGGAACTGGAACCACAGGGAAAGTCCCCAATCAGCAGCTCTGCAGAACCAGGTTGTGGGGCAGGCCCAGGCATGCTGAGACTTCCCTATCTATGAGCCTGCCTAAGCCGCCTCCCACTCAGGTCCTCTGAGGACTGGCTGGCAAGGAACCCAGTGACATCCTCCTGAGTTTGCTGCCAAGTTTGCTGCCTGAGGTGGGAACAGTTGCAGATTCCAGGAACCGGCAGGGGATCTGGCATGCTGGATAGACCTGGAAAGGACAGGAGTTGGAGGAAGCCAGAGCCCCAGAATTCACCGCTCGGCAGTGTCCTGCCAGGCCGGAGGGGCACGACCTTGCGGGCTCTCCCGTTAGCCTGACTCAGCATCAGCTTTGCATGGCTCGTGGTCTCCCAAGTAATTGGGAGAAAGTAATTTCCATTCCAGATATGGAGGGGTGTCTCTCACAGCTGACCTTGAAAAAAGCAACCCCCTACCACCGACCTACAGCTCTGACATCCCTGACGTCAGGGCTACAGGCGCCTCTGACTGGGAAGCACCTTGGTGAAGTGTCCTGCAGTCCAGGATGTAATTAGTGTCATAGGCCAGCACCCACTGACATGATGGACGCAATGAGCAAGGTGATTACGCAGGGGTATCCCTTGGGGGTCAAGAGGAACCAGGTCGTTCCCTGGCCCACGGGCTCCTGCTGGCTGAAGAGCCTGCACTAAGCATGCACGGAGCAGACATGGGACCCAGCAGATGAGACTCTAGGTGGCACTGTCCTCCAGGGAGGAAAGAGATTCCCCTAGACTCAACATTTGTCATGAACCTGCTACATCAGGTACGCAAGGAAAGGTCTCGGGTTGGGGACTCGAGGGGGACACTGACAGAATGTTCTTTTGGGCAAGAAGTTTGTAAGAATTAACTCCATGGACGTATAGACTAGAAGGGCTCTCAGGAACATTTACCATAGGCAGATAACACAGCAGGAACTCCGAGCAGAGTCACTGTGGCCAGGGTCCCTTCTTGCCGGTATCATAGGAAACGGGGGAAGTTTTCTGGCACAAACCTAAAACTAGGTTGTCCCTGACTCGTGAGTGGGACTCCCTGAGTACGTCAGGGAGGATGGGTGTAGGATGTGTGGGCACAGCGAACTTTCTGGTGTACCGTGAAGTCTGAAAAACTGTAAACTTCCTTGGAAAGAACGGTGCTTGCCATCTCTGGAGACTGGACACAGGAGATGTGTGGTTACAAACTGCAGACAGACCCTTGGGTGTCTGTCTCTCCCTGCAGCAGTGGGGATCCCAGGGTCAGCTGTGAGGATGGAGAGAGGGCCACAGGCGGGCATAACTTGGGCAGCATCTGGTCTGGGATTCTAACACGCTGACAGATGTGTTTGTGTCCCCGCGGTCAGATTTTACTGACTAACAATTACAAACGATTTGCTTTGAATCAGTTTTCCTTTAATAACTAATCCATGGCAAAACAAGTTATTTTATTCCAACTTATTTTAATTTATAAATTGTGTGTCTGTGTAAGGGTTTGCGTGTGTGAATGCCGAGGCCCCCAAAGTCGTATCAGGTCCCCCAGGGGAGTTACTGGCTCTTGAGAGCCATCTGACACATTCACAGGCAACATAACTCAGCTTCTCTGCAAAGATCCTGTTTCTAACGGATGGACCATCTTTTCAGTCCTTATTCCAATCTTAACTACAAATATTCTCAATCTACAGATTATGCAAAACACACTAAATGTGGTTTAGGTATCAGAATAAATGTAACCTTGTAAAAAGAGTTCAGCAATGTTCCTTCTGTTTCTATTGTGTGGAACAATTTAAGGACTATTGGTATTAGTTCTTTGAAAATCTTGTAGAATTCTGTGTTGAACTTCCTTGAGCTGAAGTTTTCCTTCTGGTACTTTTTATAGGGCTGGGTTTGTGGCTAGGTGTTTTACTTTGTGCTGACAACCAAACTTGGTAGTGTTAGAGTCACCCAGGTGATGCTGGTTTTGAAGTAATGAAGGGGTCATGAAAGTCTGCTGAGGCGTGGCTCTGTGAGAGGTCAGAATATGTCACCGGAGAAGGTGCTGCCTCCGGAGCAGTCAGAGGCACAGGACTGAAGGGTTGTGGAGAGAAGTTGAGACTTGGTGTCATGAGCCCAGGAGAGGTTATTGATGAAAGTGCAGCCCAGCTGCAGAAGACACTAGCATTTTGGAGACCACCAAGGACAGCATCGGTAGAGTGGAGCCAGCTGGAGCCTAGAAGACAGCTGTGTGCTGCAGAGGGTGGAGCTGGAGAAGTGACCCAAGCCCCTTGGAGGAGCCCAGAAGATCGTGAGTAAATCCAAGATTTTTGGACATTGACTTATTTACGCTGTTGGGGTTTGGTTTTTGTTTGTGTCTGTGCACTGGTTCTTCCCTCTGGGTCTTGTTAATGAACTTGCCTCTTAGAACCGCCTTTATTGTGCCACATAAGTTTGGGTATGCTTAACTTATTTGTCTTGACCCATTTTTTTCATTAAGTAGGGAGTTGTTCATTTTCCACGAGTTTGCAATCTTTCTGTTGTTTCCGTTGTTGCTATACAGCTTTAATCCATAGTGGTCTGATAGACTGCACGGTGTTCTTTCAATTATCTTTTGTCTATTGAGACTTGCTTTGTGTCGAAGTATGTGATTGGTTTTGGAGAAAGTTCCATGAGGTGCTGAGAAGAGGGTATATATATTCTTTTGTGTTTGAGTGACGTCTGTGTAGATAATTTTTAGGTCCATTTGGTTTATAATGTCTTTTAGGTTCAGTATTTCTGTCTAGTTTTTGTCTGAATGACCTGTATATTGGTGAGAGTGTGTGCTGAAGTTTCCCACTCTCGGTGAATGAGGAATGGAATTTAAGCAGCAGGAGTGTTTCCTGGGTATAGATGTTAAGAATTGAAATGTCGTCTCGGTGGATATTTTTTATTTGACTGTACAGTGTCCTTCTGCTTCTCTTCTGATTAGTTTTGGTTTGAAGTCTATTTTGTTAGATATTAAAATGGCTATACCAGCTTGTTTCTTAGATTCATTTGCCTGGAATATCTTTTTCTATCCCCTTTTGTTGAGGTAATTTTTTTTTTAACTTGATATTGAGGTATGATTCTTGGATGCAGGAGAAGGATCCTGTTTTCTCATCCATTCTGTTAGTCTGTGTCTTTTTATTGGGGAATTGAGACCATTGCTCTTAAGAGATATTAATGACCAAATGATTGTTGCTTCCTAGTATTTTGTTGGTGGTGGTGGTGGTGGTGGTGTGTGTGTGTGTGTGTGTGTGTGTTTCATTTCTTTTGATTTTGCTGGTCTGGAATTATTCCTTACGGGTTTTTTTGGGTTTGAACAACCTCTTTATATTGATTTTTTTCCTTTTAGCACCTTCTGTAGGGTTGGATTTGTGGATAGATATCGTTAGAATTTGACTTTATCATGGAATAACTTGTTTTTCTCCATCTATGGTTTTGTTGGGTACAGTAGTCTGGGCCTGCATCTGTGGTCGCTTAGAGTTTGAGCACATCTGTCTAGGCCCTTCTGGCTTTTAGAGTTTCCATTGAGAAGTCAGTTGTAATTCTAATAGGTCTGCCTTTGTATGGTACTGGATCATTTTTCTTGGAAGCCTTTAATATTCTTTCTTCCTTTGGTATGTTTAATGTTTTGATTTACTGGTCCAGTTTATCTGGTACTCTGTATGCTTTTGTACCTGGACAGGTATCTCCTTCTTTAGGCTAGGGAAATTTTCTTCTATGATTTTGTTGAAAATATTTTTTGTGCCTTTGACCTGGGTTTCTTCCTCCTTCCTCTATTCCTATTATTTTTAGATTTGGTCTTTCATAGTATGCCAGATTTCCCAGATGTTTCATGTCAGGAGTTTTCAGATTTAATGTTTTCCCCTACCTAGGTATCTATTTCTTCTCTCTGCCTTCCGTGCCTGGGATTCTCTTCCATCTCTTGATGACCATCACCTCTCTAGTTCCTGTCTGAATTCCTGAATTATTCATTTTCAGACTTCCCTCAGCTTGAGTTTTCTTTATTGATTCTGTTTCCATTTTCAGGTCTTGAACAGCTTTATTCATTTCCTTCCACTGTCTGTGCTGTCATGGATTTAAGGAATGTATTCATTTCCTCTTTCAGGACCTCTATCATATTTATAATGGCTGTTTTAAGGTCTTTTTCTCATGCTTCATCTCTGGGGGAATACTGAGAGCCTGCTGTGGTCGAGTTGCTGGTCTCTGGTGGAGTCATACTGTCCTGGCTGTTAATGGTTGTGTATTTATTTATTTATTTTTGCTAGTGTCTAAGCACCTGGGCCTGGGAGGATTATACTTCAGGGTGCTGATACCTAGTTTTGTCTTCATTAGGTGGACTCTTGTTCCTTGTTTTTTTTTTTTTTTCCTTTTTTCTGTTTCCTTCCTGGTTCTTAGGAGAGTGTGGTAGCTGTATACTGCCTGGTAGAAATTTTCTGTGGCCCTGATAGGTGTGGCTACTGGGGCTCCAGTTTCTGGGTATTCTCAGCTCTTCTTAGGGATAGGCTGGGGTTTTGAGGGGGCTCACAGGAGGGAGGAAAACAAATTCACCAGAGTTCCACCAGGATCTTTGGAATGGAGGCAGAGGGTAAAGTGAGGCTCCTTTAAAAAGTCTGCTATGGAGCTGGGGATGAGACTGGGGGATTGGATTTGGAGAAGCAGAAGGAGAGGGAAGATCTGTAGTCAGCCTACCTGTTGTAAGGGCAGGAATGGCCCGTGGGTCCCAGGTACTGCTTGCTGGAGTTGGGGAAACACTGAGTTTTTAAGTGTTTGCATTTTTAATGACTGTGCGACTTTTAAAATTTGGAATGTTTTATATTGTGATGTTCACGTTAGTGTAAGATCTTGGGGGTGGATGAATGGGAAAGGAGGTTCGAGGCTTAATAGTGATATGTTTGTGTGTCGCGCTGACAGGGAGTCCATAGTGATGGCTGGTATTATGTCAGCTTGACACGAGTTAGTGTCCTTGGAAAGGAGGGAAGCTCAATTGAGAAAATGCCTACATAAGAGCTGACATTAAATAATAATTACTGGGGAGGGCCCAGGCCATTGTGGGTGGTACCACCCGTGGGCTGGTGGTCCTGGGTTCTATAAGAAAACAAACTGAAGCCGGGCGGTGGTGGCGCACGCCTTTAATCCCAGCACTTGGGAGGCAGAGGCAGGCGGATCTCTGTGAATTCGAGACCAGCCTGGTCTACAAGAGCTAGTTCCAGGACAGGCTCCAAAACCACAGAGAAACCCTGTCTCGGAAAAAAAAAAAAAAAAAAGAAAAGAAAACAAACTGAGCAGGCTATGGGGAGCGAGCCAGTAAGCAGCTCCCCTCCATGGCCTCTGCATCAGCTCCTGCCTCTTGGTTCTCGTCCTTTTTGAGTTCCTGCTCTGACTTCTTTCGATGATGAACCATGTTGTGGAAGTGTAAGCCAAATAAACCCTTTTCTCCCCAACTTGTTTTTGGTCATAGTGTTTCGTCATAGCAATAATAACCCTAACTAAGATACAGACAAGGCGCAGCCTGAAAAAAAAAAAAAAACTATTCTATATGATATGGATTAACTCGGGGCAGAGCCCAGCCTGATCTCAACGCCATTCCTTCATTCTCTTGGTGAAGGGTTGGGTCCTGCAGGCCCCCAGACAGTGGACACAGGGTTCTCCTTGTCATTACCCTGCCCTGTCTTCAGGCTTTTTAACCTGAGTTCGTGGAACATGCCAGCTATAGGGATCGTTCCCTTCCCTCGCAAGTTTGTAAGGGGACCAAAGGGCAGACCAAGGGGAGAAAAACCATTGGCTTGTGTGTGCCCGGCATGGAGATAGGAAGCAGTGAGGAACTATGGTAGCTTGCCACCCCCAACAGAGATGTGGCTTCCAGAGACAGACAAATGTACTATGCCAGAAATAAAGGGATACGTGTGTGTGTGTCTTTCCATATGTCATATTTTAATGGATAAAAATAAGTCCACAAGCTTGGGGGGGTGCAATTGTTCTAGTGTCGTGGTTCTTTTCTTGTTGCTGTAACAGGATAATCTGGGAAAAGTGTGGAGAGAGAAGGGTTCTTTTTTCTGGCTTACATTTCAAGCACGAACTCAGTTATGGTAGGATGTCAGCGCAGCCGGGGCTTGAAGCAGTCGGAAACACCTCACAAAACTGAGTAGCAAACAAAGTGTTTCTGGTATCCACATCCACATATGTCAGAGGACTTATTTATAGAAGTGTTTGTGGTGTATGGGGGTGTATGTATGGGTGTGGTGTGTGTGGTGTGTATGGTGGATTATGGGGGTGTGTGTAGTGTGTTGTGTATATGTGGTGTGTGTGTGTGAGAGAGAGAGAGAGAGAGAATGTGGTAATGATGTATGGGGTGTGTGTGGCAAATTGATTGGTGTAGTGTGTGGTGTGGTGTGCATGTGTGTTTGTGTGGTGTATGTGTGTGTGGTGTATGGTGTGGTATGTGTGGTATGGTATATGGTGTGATGTGTATCTTGTAGTGGGTAGTTGGGGAATGTGAGGGGGTGTGATGTATGGTTTGGGGTGGGGGGGGAGGGAATGCATGTGGGATGTGTGCGTGTTTTGAGATGGAGTCTAGGCCTATACAGCCTAGGCCAGCTCTGAACTGTGGATCCCCTAGCTTGTGCCTTTGGACGCCACACTAAGATCGCAGGTGTGAGGCATCACGCCGGTCATAAAAGTTGTTTTTTAGCAGGCTCTCGGTGGCCGCTCCCTTCCCATACAGGCTGCAGGAGCCCCTCTGCTCTGTGGGTGCCGCAGACTGGTGACTAGGAGCAGAAGGAACAAGAGTATGTAAACATTAATGGGCTTCCAGAACGCTCTCATCCTGCCAGCTGGAGGGCTTGGACACAGTTTACTCAAACAGTCGTTGCCATGGAGGCAAGGAAGCCTGGAGTCCTGTTGCCAGCAGGATCCTGCATGGCTTTGGCGTGGGGAGGGACAGGAGGGGGGTTTTGGCCTTGCGGGTCCTTAGAGGGGACGATTTGAAATGCTCTGAGAGCACGGGCCAAGAGGCTGGCAGACTCACTCGGACCAAGCACGGCCAAGCCTCGTGCAGCCTCTCCCCCCCATCCCCAGGCTAGCCTCTCGCAGCAGGAGGTAGAGAGGCCAAGCATTTTTGGTTAGGCTGCCCACAGCCACGTTGCTCATAAAATATAAAAAAAATAAAAAAAATTAAAAAAAAACAATAGCCAGGGCCAAAGGCCTCTCTGCCTGGTGTATTCAGCCCTAAAAGTGGCTTTTCAGAGCTGGTCTCCTCTTCTTTAAGCTACTAACTAGGTCCTTGGGGGAGTCAAGGTAAGGCTGAAGCATGAGCCAGTTGATCATGGAGTCCTGTTACATCAAAAACCAAAAAGAGGACCTTCCTGGAGATAGAAGAGGGTATAGCTTCTTGGAGTTGGGGACATCAGAAATCCAAGGTGTCCCCAGTGATGATCAACCGGTATCATCAGAGTGTTAGGGACACGGCCTGGGTCCCAGCAACTCAGACAAGTTAGATCCAGCCACCCATCCTCAACATAGCAGTTTAAACAAGTAATAGTAACAACCAAAGAGGGGGATCTAGTCACTGTGACTACATTAGAAAGAGGAATGAAGATGCCTAGTGGCCTCAAGTTCATCTCCAGAGCTCTGACGCGAGGTTTAGCCTTAAGTAGAGGGCAGAGAGCAGAAGCCCATCGTTGACCCGTCTTCGTCTGGGCTCCAATCTCCTTCAAAGTGGCCCGACCAGCTGTCAATGCTGGGAAATTTCCTTGTGGGAAGCAATTTCACCTCTGGCTGCCACCAGAGAGTCATCCTTTCTGCTGAGATGTGCCTTGCCCAAAGTTACTTTATATGATATAAAACACTGTTTTTTTCCATACTGTGCCTTGCCTCAAGAGACTCCATTTTACAAGCAGCTTGTTGAGGGCGGAAGCTGGTGTGTACTTGGGCAGACATGTGAGTGGAACCACCTGCCTGGCCTTACCCAGAGAGCATAAACTGGTAAATGACTTTCCTGGGAGTAGAAAGCATACTGCCCTAGAAACTTTTTTTTAGATGTATTATGTATACAGTATTCTGCCTGCATGTATGCCTTCAGGCCAGCAGAGGGCACCAGATCTAACTATAGATGACTGTGAGCCACTATGTGGTTGCTGGGAATTGAACTCAGAACCTCTGGAAGAATCAGTGCTTTTAACCACTGAGCCATCTCTCCAGCCCTCCCTATAAATTCTTTAGGGTGAGCCGGGGCTGTAAGATCACACAGGCATGCTAAAATCATATCCGGAAAGGCCAGAGAACTCAGCAGCTGTAAACTGGGGAAAGGACGTCATGAAGAAGACACTCCACCCTGTGATGGCTCAGTGCTCTGCAGCGCCCTGTCCTCTTTGTCTCTCGAACCCGTTGTAGCCATTCTGGAACCTTCCTGAATACACCAAGGCTGGACAGGCTTCATGATGTCCATGGTCACACAAGTCATGGCAGAGATTCCCTAAAAAACCTTGTTTTCATGTCTCAAAGGTTCAGCTGAACCCCTATGGTTCAACAGAACACTCCCAAACCAACACAATTTAACTTCCCTTACCATGGTAGATAGCCAAACAGTCCTACATAACTCCAAATTTGCTCAAAAAAAAAAATCTTCCAAATAGACAGTGCCAGTCACGTACACAGTATAATGCCCAAGTAGTCCAACAGAACCTCAGTGGCTCAGAATAAATCAGAAGACAAAGCCCAGTCATCAGAGTGATCCAAAGTGAGCAACAGCTCAAAAGAGCCCGAGCTACAGGAAAGGCAGCGTTCACTCCAAGTGCGCGCTCACACTGGGGCCAGACGCTCTCGGGAGGCCAAAGCAAAGCACACATTCCTCAGCATCGCCAGGCTTGATGGAGCACACCTGTAATCTCAACGCTGACGGCTGGAAGAAGGGGATGGCTACAAGCTTGTGGGCAGTGCAGACTACATAGTGAGTTCCAGGCCTGCCCCGGGTACTGAGTAGGGGAGCAAGAGGGAGAGGGGAGGGAGGGACTTAACACCAAATTAACCCCACTGGCAGGAGGGATTTTGGAGGACAGGCCACAGGCCTGGCCCCAGCCTTGACAAACCAGAAGGGACATTGACCTCCCCAGATGACCTATAAGGGACAGAGAAACAGACAGGACTGGGTTGAAAATAGATGGACTAATTCTGGGAGCAGTGATTGTGACTTTTAAAATGTTGGGATTTTTATGCGGCGTGATCGAATGAGAATCAAGTACTATAAACTGTGCATATGTCTGCGGGGCACGATCGCGCGGCTTCAGGTGCTCAGACACTAGCGTCAAGAGACAAAACTGTAGCAGATGTAGTTTAAAGATACCAGGGCTCTGCTCTGTGACTCCAGTCGGGGATAAACTACTTCCAGCAAGCAACAGTTTGCTGTGAGTGGGGGGTCAGCAGGCCTTTGAGGACCAAGGATGCAGAACGGACTCAGAGATGGTTCCACAGCTGGTTTTCTTGCAGTCAGGTGGTAGAGCCTCCTTATCACCCTGACTGGGGTGGACTGGCCTCTCTCGGTGTGGAACTTTCTTTTGTTGACTTCTTGGTGTGATTACTTCTTTTAATGTCTTCATGGTAGCCTCTTCTGGTCCATGAGCCTTGCACAGAGGTCTGTCCTACACAGAAGCCTTCTTGCCATAACCATACCTTAATGCATTCTTTCTGTCTATGACCCCTCTCCCTCCCCCTCCCCAGAGGCTGGCTTCTATCCTAGGTCTCAATGAGGACTTGTAGGTTGGGAATCGTGCACGGTAAGAGCCTTAGCCATGGCCTCTCCATCCTCTGGCTTCTGGTATGCAGCACAGAGATTCTGAGTTCTTTCGTGATGGTGCACACAGTTCTAGTTTCTTTACATTGTCTGGCGTTCTGTTGCACCATACACGACTCTTTGTGCACAGATGACCAAATGGTGGCCATTTGGAGTTCATGATATTAACTGTCACAGGCAGAGCCTCATGTGTACATCCTGGTTTCAGTGGGGTTTTGTTCCTGTGGTGTAGTACATAGTGTTGGATTGAAAAGCAGTTATGCTTAGGATATAGCTAGTTTTCCAAAGCAAGCTGTGTATGAGGCACCTGTCCCACATCCCAAGCTTGGTCCCATGCATCTTGCTTCATCAGATGGTTCTGCTGGTGGCAATGGCATCACACATCTCTTTCCGGGCATGCCAACCCTTCCTGTGTGTTCCCATATGAGCAACAGCATAAATCTGAACAAATAGGAGGCCAAGGTTTTAGAATTTGAGGTTTAGAATTTTTCCGTTTTGTAATTTATAATTTGTATTTTGTAAACCATTTAGAGTTGTATTTGTTATGTTGTGTTAGATAAAGGCCAGGGTTTTAAAAGTAAGTCTGAATCTAATGACTGTTGGAAAGACTTTTTTCCAATTGAATTAATTTTGCACTCTGATAAAAGTTAATTTACCAGGAAAGCAACCCTGATGATATCTCTGTAATTTTGGCTCCTCAGAAGTCAGGCATGAGTCAGAGGCCAGCCTAGACAACTTGGGAAGAACTTATCAAAACCAGTCATGGCTAGAAGGATAGAAAGTGGGGGCAAAGAGAGGCGCAAGGGAAATCATCTACCAAATGGATCTGACCTGTTTGTTTCTAACCATGGCTTTTAAAGAAACAGTGCAAGATGTTTTCCTCTATTCGGGGCTGTTCCATTCTCTCTGGCCACTACACATAAATACATATGCACATACTTAGGACCCAGCAATCATAGCCCAGGCGTTGGTCCTCGGGCAATAAGGCTTTGGTTGCATATTTCCAGAGATTTATTTTATAACTCCTGGAATTGGCCACACAGGTGGGGAGAGAATCACTCCTGACCTAGGCCATGACTTGGAACCTTGGAATCATGCTGAGGCAAACCCAGGCACACACTGTATCACATAACATTCCTGAAATGATCAATTATGGCCATGGAGAATAAGCCAGTGGCTCCGAAGGCTGCAGAGGAGCCCAGGAGGTATAGGGTCTATACGAATGACAATTAAGCTTAAGGCAGGCCTACAACCCATCAGAATGGCCACCCTGAGGGCTGACCGTGAACATGGGACAAATAATTTCAGAGACTGTTGGCCGGTACATAAAGCAATAATAGACCAACAGAGAATGGCTTGCCAATTCTGGAACAAGGTAGATAGGTACTCTTCCCCAGCCCACACATTCTTTTTCTGGGTGCTTATGCAACGATTGGGATACAGATGTTTGTAAGAGCTTAATCTGTCTGTGATTGCTCAATCCAGAAGCAACCCAGATGCCCTTCAAAATGATAGGAGGTGAACAAATCTAAGAGATTCACAAAACACTATTGACCAGGACTGGGAAAAACTCAACATAACTGTGCTGCATAAGCAAAGAATGGGCAGAAAAAGTGTTTCGCCACTTACATCAGATTGCAAAGCCTGAAAAACACAATACTAAGAAGACATGTTATCTAGGGAGAAGAGTAGGGAGGGAGAAAGATTTGGAGTGACTGGTGAATTCGTGATCTTGACTGTGGCTCTGCATCCGTGCATAAGACTGACAAGACCCTTAGATACATCTCAGATGCAGATGGCCCCCTGGGTGCTAAAAATACATGGACAGAGATAGCAATGACCCTACAGTGCATGAAATTTACATTCCAGTGGAGTGAGTTGAGGTCAGCAAGCTGCAGAGAATCATCACCAGAGGCCATCAGTCTCTGAAGCGCTGTGGTACCTACCGGTCAGCTGTGTTTAAACCTTAGGACTAGCGAGGACCCTAAGCTGTAGTGCTAAGCTTGCTAACTCACATATTATCTTGTGTTGCCCGTGGGAAGGATGGAAATAAGTGGCTGTACCTTTAAAAGTCTATACCAGTCCCATGCACCACAGCAGGAGGGTTTCCCAGTGAGGCAGATACCCACTCCATCACGTCTTCCTTCGACCTCATCATCCTCTCCCTGGGTTAAAGGCACATCCTGTCTAACAAGCTATTTCAAGAGTTGACAAACTGGGAAAAGGGAATGCAAGTGTTACCTCCATCCATTGGGAACCTTCCAGATTCAAGCAAAGAAGTCAGACAGAGAGAATGCCGTGGTTTTACTTATCTCACCGTCTAGAACAGGCTTAGGGATCCAAGTAAGCCAGGAGTCAAGTTTGCCTCTGAGATAGCCCAGAGGACACCTGGCGTCTAGGTCTGCCTGGATATCATGCTGGAAATTCAAAGGAAACGGCTTAGAAAGAGCTCCCTTTGCTCATCTGCCTGATCTGAGGGGTGGACTTTCCCACCTTATGCAGTCTGGCAGAGGTCTGGCAGCTAGCCAACTCGTGGCCAGTGACACATTTCAGAATGGACCATGGAGCGGAAGCAGGGGCTGATGACCTCTGCTCCAGAGCCTGGGCTGGGCTCCAGATTCCCCAGGAACTTTGCTGCCCTTGCCCCATGCCTCATTGGGCCAAGAGGCAGTATCACATGGCGGCCTTGGTGGCTGAAGCCCAACATGGGTGGCAGATAAACAGACCTAAAACCAAAACATCTCCTCTGAGCCCAGGACTCCACTGGGGTCCAACATGACAGCAAGAACACATGACCACAGCATGACCAATCACCCTGACCCCAGTGAGTGGGGGGGACATCCAGGATGGCCCCAGGTCTGTCTCAAAACCAATTATGGTTTCCTATTAGAGATCCAACAATCCAGGGGGTAAGGAGAAGGAGGATTGAGTAGCATGGCACTCAGCTACCCAAAGAGAGATCGGAATGCTAAAAACGCTAGTGACGTCAGGGGTCCATGCCTTGGCAGTGTCATTGGGGCTTGGGTACAAGGACTATTGGGGTGCAGTCATCATTTAGAGTCATCCTGGGTGGCAGTGCACACCTGCACTAGTGAGGTACTCACCCCATACTCATACAGTAGATCCCAATGACCTGCAGTGTACAATTCCCCCCCAGCCCCCAAGGAGTCCACTCCCTGCCTACAGGTTGAGAAGCAAGGGCAGGACACAACCAGGCCAGAGCACTTCAGCAAACAGTGGCAATCTCACTGTTGCCTCCCTTATACCCCTGGCTCAGGAAGCTACTCACGAGCATGTGGCAGGGACTCCATCCAGAACTAGCCATCCTGGGACAGTGGGGACCAGGTAGCTTGCACCAGGACATGAATGGCTGGCCATGGCAATCCCTAGTCATCTGTGGGAGTTGGACATCCCTGGGGTACAGTGTCCAGATGAGAACAGCACATCCCCCAAACCCCAACAACTCAGACCCTCAAGGTCTAAAGGTCCTTACTTCCTTTACTCTCGGCTTCTGGAGGTTCTGGAGGTGATGGAAGTGGGACAAAGGGTGGCTGCAGGGTCTTCATGTGCAGGACAGGAGCTTCTCCTCAAGTCTGTGGCAGATGTAATTCCTCTTCTGGCCGAGAGCCTGGTAGTTGGATCCTGTGGATTCTGGCGAGGACAGTTAGGGCTTGGCACCCTCTGGCCTTGGCTTAAGTCCTGGCCTCTAAAGCCTCAGTTCTGAGTTTCTGCCTTACCAAGAACACAGGAAGCCCCACACTGGGATGGACAGAGGGGCACAGTGACCGGAACAAAGCACTTAGTGTCAACACAACCGGTGTCGACAAAATGGAGAACAGGTCTTCCGTGGGCACCGAGGGTGTGAAACCCTTGGAAAGGGAGACACATTCACCTGCAAGAGAACAGAGGAGAGAATGATGCTCCCTTGCCCAGAACACAGTTGTGTCTTTGCACGTGAGACAGATGTACTTTTCATTTCCACGAGGGGAAACTGAGGGTGGAGAGGCTTCTAGCCTGCCATGGGATCGCTTCTACCAGCCTTGGTGAAGTCACCCAGGAGTGTGGCTCTCTGGCAGTGCAGACACTGTCTGAGGCGCTGCCTCCTCTCAGGTACAGTTTCCCTCTGCCTGACTCCTGGGCTATACTTCCTCCCCCTGTCCATCCCTGAACTGGCTCACATCCAGGGCCCAGGGAGGCTCCAGCTAGTCTATGAGCTGAGGAGGCCATGGCTGAAGCTTTTCCCCTGTGCAAGGCCGAGGTCCCAGCACAAGCCGGGCCAGCCCACTCCTCTGGCAGACCAGGCAGTACCCACAAGAACATTGTTCCTGGCCGCAGTGTCTCCACAGAACCCATAAAAACAGACTCTCGACGGTCTCACACCTCAGGAATGCGGCTGTCTTCCCAGACAACAGAATCTCGGGCTCAGCGGTGGTCAGGCCAAAGCCCTGTGCCTCACGTGTTCTGGAGCTGACAAGATAAATAACTGTCACTTCCAAAGAAAAACAGAAATTCCACTTTTCTTTTAAATACCCTGGCTACACTTGGCGTTAATGTCTCTAAATCTGGAGGAACACGAAGTTTCTCTTCCAGGAATCTCCTTAGCTCTGCGGGCTGCCTCAGAGCCCGCACCACGTTCCTCCAGCAGCAGAAATGGTCTGAGTTCACACAACTCACACGGACAGGCAGCCCTTCTCAGGGATCTGGGCATGTGCGCTTGAGGCTTCTTAGGAAGGGTCGGGGTCTCAACAGAGCTGGGGATGGACGGTGTGGTACGGTGCAGCCAAGACCCACTGAGTCTGCACTGGGAGGCAGATGGTTCCTAAGCTGCTGGTGAGGCGATCTGTACTTGGCCAGGCTGGGAATTCTGGCAGATTGAGATGTAATAAACCTGAGTCATGATTACTAACGGCTCAGCTCTTACTGAAGCAAGGACGTTGATGTGCATGGGTATAGCACAAGCTGCCCACCCAGTGATGGTGAACACTGGGCAGACTGGGGAAAACAGGTCTCTGCAGTGAAGCATCGACCATGAAATGAGGGCTAGGCATCTCCACAGAAGACCCATGAGCCTCGGCAGGCCAGGAGGAGGGCACGAAGGGAATGAGGTATTTGTGAGCCTGGAACGGCGGAACAGCCAAGTAGCCATGCCTATGGATGTCTAGCGCCACAGAGGACTCAGGCTAGACCTCCTTCACAGTCCCCAGCCTCAGGGCAAGAACCCCAAGGGTCCCCTCTAGGAACTGATATTTTCTTACTGAGTAAGCCCCACCGGGGAGGTACTTTTCCTCAGCCAGAAAGGGGAGCTGTGTTTTGTTATTTGTTTTGTTGTTTGTTTTAGGCAGCGTTTTGTAAGCCCCACACAGTCGCTAGTGACAAACATGAAGGCTAGAGGTGTAGGGGAGGATGCCTGGAACTCTGCAGAGGCCTTGGGATAAGTGGGAAGGTGAGATCTCCCATACTGTGGGCAGTGGCAAGATCACCTGCAGCAGACATAGCAGATGTGAGAGCCCAGGGACCGTCTCGGTGGCGCCCAGGGACCGTCTGTCTCGGTGGCGCCCAGGGACCGTCTGTCTCGGTGGCGCCCAGGGACCGTCTCGGTGGCGCCCAGGGACTGTCTCGGTGGCTTTCATCTGCCGCTGTCACTCATTGTCCCCTCTTCTGCTGATACTCTTACTGAGGGGACAGTCGTAACCTAGCCTTCTTAGAGGGCATCTCGGGTTTGCACCACCACATCCACTCCTGAGTTTCTAAACATTGTCGTCAATCCAGAAAGGCACGTTCCCCTAAGTAAGCACCCTCCATTCCCTTCCCTGGCCACTCAGACTGTTTCTTATTTCTGTGGACTCGACTTCTGTCTTCGCCGGTGTTAGGAATATTTCTCAAGACGAGCTTCCCTGCCGATGCAAATAATTCCCATCAGACCAATTAGACCAAATAAAAGATGCCCGTGTTTAATTAATGCAGCGCTCCTGGGTGGCCTGGAAAAGCGAGGTGAGGGAAAGAGAGCAGGGGAGACCGTGCAAAACCCCGAGACCACGGGTTCCTTTTCTGGGCGGCAGATTCTGTTGCCTCTGTCTCCCTGAATTCATACATTGAAAGCTAACACTCACGGTGATGTGGAGGCGGGACACTGACATGTGACTAGGTCATGAAGACTTTGCTAATTCCCAGGGAGCCCCTCTGTTCTTCTGCTTGAAGACACACAGCAGGTAGCATTAGGAGGAAATTTTCTCACCAGACTCCCAATCTGTTGATGCTGTCATTGGCTTTCGTGTCTAGAACTGTGTGATAAATTCCCCTTGTCTCTAAATTGCCTGGACTAAGGCATGTTTAATGAATGAGAGCATTGTTTAATTTTGATTTTTATACTATTGCTTGATAATTTGGCATCCCTTACAGTTCCACATGAAGCCCAGGACTGGCTTTGCCATATATGTGTTTGAACGGCATGGGGATTTTAACAATGTACTGAATCAGGGGCTCCCCTTAGAGTGAAGGGCCTTGGGGGGAATCAAAGATGGCAGGGCAGATTTTACAGGTGAAGGATTTAGTGCAGATGAGAATTTCTGTCCCGCCTGGTCCCACAGCCATTCAGTCTGAAATAAACACACAGAAGCTTATATTAATTATAAACTGTTTGGCCTGTTGTTCAGGCTTATTACTAACTACCTTTTACAACTTAAATTGGCCCATAATTCTTATCTATGTTTAGCCACGTGGCTTGGTACCTCTTCTCAGTAAGGCATTCTCATCTTGCTTCCTCTGTGTCTGACTGGTGACTGCATCTCTGCCTTTCCTCTTCCCAGAATTCTCCTGGTCTGGTTGCCCCACCTATACCTCCTGCCTGGCTATCGGCCAATCAACATTTTATTAAACTAACATGAGTGACAAATCTTCACAGTGTACAAGAGCAAGAGTGTAATCCCATAGGACCTAAGAAGGGGACCCCAGCAGCCTGCAGAGCAATCTTCCCCTGGATGGCAAGTCATATGCATTCGTGAAAGGGCACCTTTGTTTCTCAAAGCTAATAACTACTTGCAGAGAGCCAGTGACTGACGGTCAGAGCAAGTCAGATAACACACGGAGGCCTGGATAGAGGATGAGGACTGAAATTACATCCCAATCCTGTAAGAGCCTTAAGGAAATCCCAAAGCCCAGCTTAAGAATTCTTTTTCCCCCTGAGGAAGAGATTTATACTCCAGATCTCTCCACACAGGCAGAGCCAGGGGTGACACAGGGTAGGTCACAGTGACGTTCTCTGTGTGGTCTGGGCATCGCAGGCCATAAACAGCAATCAAGGTTCTATGAGTGCAGGAAATGCTGCCTGCTCTGCTCACTGCTCAGTGCCCTCACGCAGTGCTCACTGAAGCCTGCTGTACTCCCTGTGCCTCTGCAGTGGTGCTCAGCACCCGCACGTGGTGCTCACTGAAGCTTGCTGTGCTCCCCATGCCTCTGCAGTGGTATTCAACGGCTACACACGCTGCTCACTGAAGCCTGATGTGCTCACTGAAGCCTGCTGTATGACAAAAAACGGAGCACTGTGAGCAAGACTCACAGTCTAACTGTAAGAAGCCATGACTTAAAATTGCCCCAGAACCAACAGTCGAGTGAATGAACCAATGAGAACTTTTTGGATCCTGCCGCTGTGGCTGAGCTTCACCCATCCCCACTCACAGACAGAGTCCAAAGTCTTGTTTCCATGGTATTTAGAGCCGGGGGCCTTCCAATGGTAGGTTTAAATGAAGTCGTGAGGGTATAGCTCCCACAGGCAGGTGGATCTCTGTGAGTTCAAAACCAGCCTGGTCTACAGAGCAAGTTCCAGGACAGGATCCAAAGCTAAACATAGTGACCCTGTCTCAAACAAACAAACAAACAAACAAACACATTTACAACACCAGCCCACAAAGAGGACACACCTTGATTTTGCTTATGTGGTCTCCAGGACTGCAAAATGGTGGGTTTCTGAAGGCTGAGGCAGGAGCATTGAAAGTTCAAGGCCAGGGGATGGAGTGATAGCTCAGAGGTTAAGAGCACTGGCTGCTCTTCCAGAGGTCATGAGTTCCATTCTCAGTAGCCACACTGGTGGTTCACAACCATCTTTAATGAGATCTGGCGCCCTCTTCTGGTGTGAAGGCATACATGTAGGCAGAAAATTATATGCATAATAAATAAATTAAAAAACAAATACAAAGGATATTTTTTAAAAGTTCAAGACCAGTACCATGTACATACTGAGATCTGTCTTTTAAAATGTAAGTTCACGACCAATACCACGTACATACTGAGATCTGTCTTTTAAAATCTAAGTTCAAGACCAGTACCACGTACATACTGAGATCTGTCTTTTAAAATGTAAGTTCAAGACCAGTACCACGTACATACTGAGATCTGTCTTTTAAAATGTAAGAAGACATTTCTACACAGAATAATAGCAAGCAGCAGTCAGCCCCATCGTAGAAGAACAGTTCACGAGTCCAATCCATGTTTACCTTAAGATTGCTAGAGCAGGTCAACATTGGACAACACCATGATCCAGTCACACATCAAAAGGAAAGGCTCGGAGAAGAAAGCTGGGAGTTGTTGTTGCTGCTGCTGATACTAAAAACAAATGGATAAGGTTTTGTGACTTCATGTCATAATGAAACTGGTTTTTGCTCCTGTAAGCTGGTGGGAAACTGGCTTAAGTGTGCCTGACGTGCCAGCTTCATCCACCTCTCCTGGCAGAACATCCCGAGAAAAGCCGTAAAGCCCTGTGTGATGACAGCCCTTCTGCCTGGAAATACTCCCTGGCTGGATTTGCTCGGTGCGTTTCAACATTATTTTAGACTTTAAGATTAGTAGGGGCAGGGCACATAAAGAGTGTGTGAAAAGATCTCTGTTAGGCATTGTGACTCTCGGGGTGGCTGGGAGGTAGAAGGGATCAGGCAGAGAACCCACAGGGAACCACTGAGGGAACAGAGAGCCCCGGGGTTAGCAGGCAAAACTCCCAGCGCCTGGCCCATCCAAAGGCTCAGACCCCAGGCCCCAGCCTGCCTCAGGCACCCTGGCCCTAGAGTCCAGCCCATCCAAAGCACTTAGACCCCCACACTCAGATTTTTGGCCGCATTATTTCTCTTTTTTAAAGTAGCTAATATTGATACCAAAAGCAGAGGCAAGAGACTGGCAGGTGGTGGTCTGAGGACAGGAGGAAACCGTGTGACGGATGGAGAGGATGGAGAGCCATACCCGCAGGCTTGAGAGTTTGTGTGCGCTGAATGTTTAGTTAAATAAGTGTTAACTGGACTGTAGCAGGGACCTAGCCATGATAACGCAGGAATCCCCCAGCCTCATTATCACGTAGTCTGTAATAGTAGGTATGCAGGCTGACTCACCATTCTTGGGAGGCTCTCTCTGAATTCTTTCCTCATTGCATGGCTGCCTCTGCTTGGCAAGAGTATAAATTCTGTATGCGTTCCGAAACCCAGCACTTGGGACTGCAGGTTTAATCTGCCTCTGCTTACCCTGGAGCAGACTGTAGATGCTTTCGCGGTGAGACAAGTGACCAAGCCTGTGGAATCTTTGTTTCTCTTCCATCCTTGCCGTTTCCCTGTGTGCCTTTAGTTTTACTGCGCTGGGAGGCCTTTTGCCAGCTTAAGGCGACCAAGTCGCTCTCACAGAGGTTGCATTGAGAACCGGCAGACTGGGATGGACACGCGGGCTCCCACTGTGCCCTAGCTTAGTCAGAGGTAGTCAAGGGAAGCTTAGGTCTTTATGGCCTCTGGTGGGGTGTAGAGGAAAACAGAAGCAGGCTAACCACGTCAAACACAGCCACCTGGGAGTGCCCTGGATAGGGTAGTAAGGGTTCCTGTTAAAATGCACAGGGGCTGGCTCAGGGGTGGAGTGCTCACTCGGTGTTTTCCAGGCTTGGTTTGAACCCCAACATCCAAACGACACCAAAACTGTAGAGTTTCCAGGTGCTCACCTTGGTCACTGTTGATGTATTTGTTATTCTTGCTTTTTTTTTTCCTACTTAAATCCAGATTTCAGTTTCGCCTCCCCTATTCACATTCACATTCCTTCATGTGTTTTAGCAAGAATCCAAAAACATCTGCCTGTTTTCAAAAGGCTTTAACATTTCCTTCCTACAGTGGCCAACAGTGGCCCCCTTGTCATCTCTATGTGGCATGTCGTCTGGGGAGGCCGCGTTCCTGTAGCTCATAGTAAGATGCTTTGACTGGCACAAGGGAATTCCCTAGCAGTTTCCGATTCACCTTGGTGATCTGCAGGAAAACAGTGACACAGATCCCTTCCTTCACGGTGACGCCAAGTGCAATGAAGTGCCAAGACCCGAGTCTGCTACAGAGACGTTAATCACAAGGCTAAATACAATTAGATCCGTGGTTCTCAGCCTGTAGGTCGTGACCCCAGTACGGGTTAAAAGACCCTTTTACAAGGGTTGCCTAAGATCATCAGAAAACACAAATTTTACATTACAAAAAAATGCAGTTATGAAGTAGCAATGGAAATAATTTTGTGGTTGGGGGGTCACTGCAACACAAGGAACTGAATTAAAGGATTGGAACATTAGGGAAGCTGAGGACCGTTGGGCTAGACGATCTGTCCTGTAAAAATCCTGCAGCAGCACACAAGAGGGTGACATGTGGGAAACGTTGAGGAGAACGGAGGAGAAAGCCACACATGGGACACACCGCAAAGGGCCTATGTTCAGGGCTCTGAGTTCCGTTCTGATTGCGTCCCTTATAAACACCATTCTGTCTTGACTTAGGGAAGAAGACACTCTCAGTATCTGTAACCTATTTTTTAAAAATCATTTCTCCTGTTGTCTCAATATCATTATGATTGGATGCGTGCAAGTTTTTGTTTAGTAGTGGTGTGTGTGTGTGTGCATGTACATGTGCACGTGTGCATGCATGTGTTTATGAGTGTGTGTGTGCATGCATGTGTGCTTATGTATGTGTTGTGTGTGTGTATGTGTGTATGTGTTTGTGTGTGTATAGTATGTGTGTGGTGTGTATATAAGGTGTGTATGTGCAATGTGTGTGGTGTGTATTGCATGTATGTGTAGTGTGTTCTGTGTGTGTGGAATGTTATGTGTGTATGTAAGTGATGTATAGTATATGTGTTTTGTGTATGTGTGGTATGCATTTGGTGTGTGTGTGTGTGTGGTGTGTGTGTTAAATTTGAGACTGATCTCTAATAAGCTGTATGTCCTGACCAGCATGGAACTCATTCTGTAATCCTTCTGCCTCTGCCTCCCGAATGCCAAGATCACAGGTATACACCGCCATGCCCAGTGTCACACAGATGTTTTAGAGATTTGACTGAAGCATCTTTGTCTCCTGGATTGAGTTTCTCCAGTATTATTGTTGTTCAGTGTTAGTGAGTCTGGATACTGAGACACAGTCCACCCTGACATTGGCAGCACCTTTCAGTACCCTCTAGTCAGATGAAGCTGGCACTTTTTTCTTTTGTTTTTAAAGATTTATTTAAGTGGGCATAATGGTGGCACATGCCTTTAATCCCAACACTCAGGAAGCAGATGTAGGCACATCTCTGTGAGTTCAAGGCCAGCCTGGTCTACAGAGTGAGTTCCAGGACAGTCAGAGCTACATGGTGAGACCCTGTTTTGAAAAATAAATAAATAAATAGTCAAACCATGGTGGAGCACACCTTTAATCCCAGTACTTGGGAAGAACAGGTAGGCGGATCTGCAGCCTGGTCTACAAAGTGAGTTCCAGGACAGCCAGGGCGACACAGAGAAACCCTGTCCTGAAAAAAGATAAATAAATAAAAAAATAAAGATTTATTCTTAATTTTAATTATGTGTGTTGTGGTGTGTGTGTGTGTGTGTGTGTGTGTGTGAGCATCCTAAGAAAGCCATGCTTAAGGCTCAGCAGTAAGCAGTAGCCATATGATTTAGTATGAGTGTGTATGTGTGTGTGTGGTGTGTGTGTGTGTGTGTGTCTCTGTGTTCATGTGAGTCAGAGGCTTCCTTTCAGGACTTGCTTCTCTCTGTCTGCCATGACCACTGAACTCTGGTGACCAGGATGGGTGTCAAGCCTGTTCCACATCTCATGGGCCCGTATAGAAGATCTTGATGGCTTTCTCAGAGGATTGCTGAGAGCCCCTTCTTCTTGCCTTTTGGTAAATGAGATCGTAGGGTGGTTACCGTGAGTAGGAGAGCAGTCTGATGACTAATGCAGTGGACCGCATGGGTTGCAGAAATGGGCTGAGGCGGGACTTTCACCAGAAGTGGGGTTTCTATGAGATTCTAGAAGGTTGTCATATCACAGCTGGGAAGAGAAGAAAGGCCATACTTGGTCACATATGCTGAGGCCTTAGGAACAGTTCATCACTGTTTTAACATTCTTATTTGAAATAGCTATATGAGAAGAATAATGTCTTTTGCAGCTAGAATTATTTTTTATTTATTATTTTATTAATAATATTCATTTTTATTATTTTTATTCCAAACCACTTGAAAGAGTATTTTTCCTTCTACCATACAGGTGTGAGGTATCAAACTCACATTGTCATGATTGGAGGCAGACTTTATCCACTGAGTAATCATCTCATTGGCCTGCTAGAATTCTCTGACACTCATTGGTCAAGAGATCACAAACAGACTCCAGAGCAAGAGGGCTCATTGGCCATCCTATGTGCCCTAAGTTTTGACATATTTCTATCTTTCAGTTCTATTTTGAAATAGAACAAGCTCTCTTTATCAATATATGTGTGATCTAAGTACCCAGCAACAGAGTGAGACTCCACTCCTAAGGTTGCTTAGCTAGCAGGCTAGCTGAACACTCAACAGCCTTACCACCCTGTGCCCCACTGACGCCACTCTGCTCCAGTTTGAGTTTGGCCAGGGTCACTCAGAGTTCTCGAGTGCCTAGGGTGCACTGGTTGCCTAAGGGACTCCAGCCTGGGAGAGAGTCGGAGTCAGGGACCCTTTAGGCATAGTGGGTTGAGTGAGCAGCCGAGTTGGGAGGAGGGAACTGTTGTCCAGCGGGGTTGATGCTGGTCTGAAGAACAGTCAAGTCGGCTGGCTTGCCTTGAAATATCCATTGGGCTGTTATAGATGGAGGACAAACTGTCACATATCCCTAAAATGCTCCATCTCTGGGGAACTAATTCCGAGTTGTTCAGCACCTGTATCAGTTTCCCTTTCTGTAGCTGTGATAGAATACCCAGATGAAAGCGCCTTGGAAGAGAAGGTGCTGATTTTGGCTTACACTCCAAAGGGAAAATAGTCCATCACGGTGGGAAAGGCATGGCTGCAGAAGCATGAAGCCAACTGGCAGTCAGGGATGGAGTGATCACGTTTCATCCACACATGGGAAGCAGAGGGGAGAGAGAGAGTGAGAGCGAGAGCGAGAGTGAGAGCGAGAGCGAGAGCGAGAGCGAGAGCGAGAGCGAGAGAGAGAGAGAGAGAGAGAGAGAACAGGAAGTAAGTCATGCTGTAAAACCTCAACACCCACCCTGAGCGATGCACTTCCTCCAGCAAGCCTCCACCTCCTGAAGGTTTCTCAATCTTCTCAAATAATACAACCAAGTGGGGACCGAGTGTTCAGATATCTGAGCCTATGGGGACATTTCTTATTCAAAGATGTCTTAGTTTGCATTTTTATTGCTGTGAAGAGATACCATGACCACAGCAACTCTTATAAAGGAAACATTTACTTGAGGGTGGCTCACTCACAGTTTCAGAGGCTTTTGTAATATGACCATAAAGGGGAGCATGGCAGCGTGCAGGCAGATGTG